CCGTGGTTAGTGGTCAGCTCATCAATGCTGGATTCCCCCGGAGCACAGTACCTGTTTGTTTTGGCTGCTTGAGGCCAGTATGTCAGCTGCATTTGTGTTGCTGGTTAACGAGCAGATTAACGACCCATGATGTTATTGTCAGCGCTACGCTACCTGTTAGAATTAATTTCACTATTTCGGGAATGTATGTGGTCGTGTGAGGGAAGACGCAGTGACCATCGTTTGGATTTACTTTCGAGCTACTTTAATGTTTCCACTACTCAGTGGGACTTAACAGTAAGCTTAAAAGAATATGTTGCATGTTAATATGTTGTTTCTGTTAACGTTAGAGAGAATTGTTGTAAGGCTGGAGAAGTTAATATGTCTGCATTATACCTGTTAAAATATGGGGTTTCTCAGTTACCCTCTTTCTTTAGAGTATTACAAATCTCTTTTCATCGATACATATACTATTGTTTACCTAGTATCTATTGAGTAAATTTTTTAAATTAATTAATGCTCTTGTGGTTCATAGTGCTGTCCACTTTCGACACAACACCAGCAGCAGGTCCTGTGCACGTTCACAAACTATCCTGGTTTTTAGGAAGAGGCTCTCTGGTTTTATGATTCTGAAACAATTACAGACTATTTGTAGTTATGAGGGGTGCAAAGTCTAGAGGTGTCCAAGATTAAACATTAAATGGCCGGAAATAAGCATGCTATGGGCTCTTTAAAGTATGGATACGATCAGGACTATCAGTGGATTAAGCTCTTGTGAAATGTATTTTCTGGAATTTAGAACAAGCTTCAGTTGATAGGAAAATACTTTAATTTGTTAAATGCTGTTATGTTTAACACACAGTATGTGTGACAATCTCACAGGCACATTAACTTACTTCAAGAATAGATCACTAGCCAAGAAAAGAAAAGTCATACCTCATTGTCATGTTATAGCCTTATACTTACCTTTAAATAAATAATTCTTTGTCCATTTTTCCCATGGTATTGAATATCTGTATTTTTAAGATATATCAAAGCTAGAAATTTCAGTATCATGACAACACTAACCTGCAGGGTGAAAGGCAATGAGCCTAAAACTGATTCTTGAGGAATACCTTATCAACCATTTGGAGATTTTACTTTGAAGCCATATGCAACAATAGTTTCAACACTATCAAGGATATATGATGTGAACCACTTATATAAGAAAACATCAAAACCTACAGAAAGATGCTTATTTAACAAAAGGTATCAAAATCTTTGGACAGCTCTACAAAGAGTGCAGCATAATGTTTTTGAATTAAGTGTCATCTACATTACCACTTGTTGTAGTGCTGTGAGCAGGCCTAAAGTCTGACTGTTGTGGCTGAAGGACACCACCTATGGGAAGCTATGTAGCTGTGAGGTAACTACTATTTCTATGGCTGTAGACAGACAAGACGATTGTAGGTTTATAGTTGTTGAGCTTACAAGTGTCACCACCTTGAAATGTGACCACCTGTGCATTCCTTCAGATTGAGGGAATTTTGGTGCAAGTAAAGGTTGAATTAAAGGTGGGTACAAGTGGTGCAGTAATAACATGAGCACTGAGGTGAAGGATCTGCAAGTTGTCCTGACCATAACTTTGTGTTGAAATTTATCAGTCTATTGTAAATGCATATGTGCATATGTGACAGATCTAAAACTGTCTATTATTAATGAAGTGTGGGCCAGAGGGAGGACAATTATGCCAGTAGGTATGGATGTGAAACACACACACAGAAGACACTGTTTGTTATGTTACTGTTTATTATGACTTTGGTCAAGGAGGAGACCCTGGTTTGCATCCAATTAAATTACTTCCTTAGAGTAAAACTTTCATTCTAACAGCAAAATTAGCTTCTACCCCTTCAACTTCCCTGACTCTACAACTCTCTTTAACCCTCTTCTGCACAAATATGATGACTGCTGTTTTTCTGAAATACTTATTTTCTCACAAAAGATGCAGAATTATAGCAACATGTGCCTTCTATCCAAATTGTATAATGATCTGTCTGCTCTCCTAGCCACCAGCTACATACTGTATGTAGATCAGTATTTGAGTATGCAGCAGAGGTGTGTTTGTGTAGCTACCTATCTCAGCAGCAAGTTATCGTGCCAGGTCTAGAGGCTGGGAGTTGCCTTTTGGTGGTAGTAAGGCAGAAAGAGAGGGGATTGCCCAGGATGACCTGCCCGTATAGTTAATAACTGTCTTAACCTATACTTCTAGTGGATGTGCTGGGGAATTATAAATATAGGTTACTTCAACCTTTCACCCCAACATACCCTCCCAGGAAAAACATGAAGGAACAGAAAGGATTTGGCTGTGTTATGGTGTTCACCACTATAGCTGTTAATACCCAACCATACCTGAGATCATATAATTTTTTTGTCCTTGATATATAGCTCCTAGTTTCCCAGAATGTTTCCCATAATGCTGTTAGGGTGATTTTTATTTTATGCACTTAAGAATGGTTTTATTTTATAATACACATAAGTTTACATACTTATATGTCACAGATATGCTTATATAATTATGAATATCACTCTGTGTTCACTTAACTACTAGTCAAATATCTGCTGTGTGAGTCACTGAAACACTAATGCAACATCATAAGTCTTGTCCACTAAATTACTGAATTTCATTAGATTTATGGCTGTAGCTAAGGGAGCTCATAGTTACACAGAAAGGATTTGGCTGTGTTATGGTGTTCACCACTATAGCTGTTAATACCCAACCATACCTGAGATCATATAATTTTTTTGTCCTTGATATATAGCTCCTAGTTTCCCAGAATGTTTCCCATAATGCCCATCAGCATACCCAGTAAAGAGGAGCTGTTAAACAAAAGTGGTGGTAAGAGTATATATAATTAGCCAGGGCAATAACTATCAGGCTTACTCATTGGGTTTACTCATTGATATAGCATTGATGTGGCATCCTGGGCCATCCGGTCTGTTTTATAAGAACTTTGCTTTTATTTTTGTGGTTAGAATTACTGTGATTCTGGTATGATGTTGACATCATAAGCGCTCTGACAATCTGACAGGCTGCGGAGAAGTTTGTCTAGATTAGTCAGAACAGTTTATATTTCATTTGGAAATCAACCTGAAAGTGAGTGCAACTATATTGTAAAAATAATGCTAGCCATACACTCCTCTTAAAACCAAGTATATTTATTTTTTTGTTTTTTTCTGCATTTATTTTAAGGCAATGCTTTTTTACAGTGTATTGTATGGTGGGGGCAGCATGGTGACGCAGTGGTTAGCACTGCTGGCTCATAGCAAGAAGGTCCCGGCCGACCCGGGGAGTTTGCATGTTCTTCCTGTGCCTGCATTAGTTCTCTTCGGATACTCCAGCTTCCTCCCACAGTCCAAAGACATGCAGGTTAGGTTAGGGTTGACTGGTGACTCTAACTCAACAAATCTCCTAAAGCCACAGAAGACATTTCATAATTGTTTTCAAAGGTACAATTTTCTTGACTAATAAATTGTATTTGACATGTAAGATCAGTGACTCTAAATGTGTGTGTGGTTGTCTCTCTTTTCAAGTGTCAGCCCTGTGACAGACTGGAGACCTGTCCAGGGCGGGCCTCTCGCCCAGTGTCAGCTGGGATTGCCCCCCCCCCACATCCCTACATCTGTGTGACAAATTTCAAACAAAATCAGTAATCAGATTTATGACCTACAAGTCATAGTTCATTCATTGCTTTATCACCCATACAAAACTTTTGATGGTCAAATTGATCGGGGTTTGATTCTGCATGTTCAGCCTTTAGCCATTAGTTCTCTTCGGATACTCCAGCTTCCTCCCACAGTCCAAAGACATGCAGGTTAGGTTAGGGTTGACTGGTGACTCTAACTCAACAAATCTCCTAAAGCCACAGAAGACATTTCATAATTGTTTTCAAAGGTACAATTTTCTTGACTAATAAATTGTATTTGACATGTAAGATCAGTGACTCTAAATGTGTGTGTGGTTGTCTCTCTTTTCAAGTGTCAGCCCTGTGACAGACTGGAGACCTGTCCAGGGCGGGCCTCTCGGCCAGTGTCAGCTGGGGTTTCCCCCCCCGAATTTTGGTGCAAGTAAAGGTTGAATTAAAGGTGGGTACAAGTGGTGCAGTAATAACATGAGCACTGAGGTGAAGGATCTGCAAGTTGTCCTGACCATAACTTTGTGTTGAAATTTATCAGTCTATTGTAAATGCATATGTGCATATGTGACAGATCTAAAACTGTCTATTATTAATGAAGTGTGGGCCAGAGGGAGGACAATTATGCCAGTAGGTATGGATGTGAAACACACACACAGAAGACACTGTTTGTTATGTTACTGTTTATTATGACTTTGGTCAAGGAGGAGACCCTGGTTTGCATCCAATTAAATTACTTCCTTAGAGTAAAACTTTCATTCTAACAGCAAAATTAGCTTCTACCCCTTCAACTTCCCTGACTCTACAACTCTCTTTAACCCTCTTCTGCACAAATATGATGACTGCTGTTTTTCTGAAATACTTATTTTCTCACAAAAGATGCAGAATTATAGCAACATGTGCCTTCTATCCAAATTGTATAATGATCTGTCTGCTCTCCTAGCCACCAGCTACATACTGTATGTAGATCAGTATTTGAGTATGCAGCAGAGGTGTGTTTGTGTAGCTACCTATCTCAGCAGCAAGTTATCGTGCCAGGTCTAGAGGCTGGGAGTTGCCTTTTGGTGGTAGTAAGGCAGAAAGAGAGGGGATTGCCCAGGATGACCTGCCCGTATAGTTAATAACTGTCTTAACCTATACTTCTAGTGGATGTGCTGGGGAATTATAAATATAGGTTACTTCAACCTTTCACCCCAACATACCCTCCCAGGAAAAACATGAAGGAACAGAAAGGATTTGGCTGTGTTATGGTGTTCACCACTATAGCTGTTAATACCCAACCATACCTGAGATCATATAATTTTTTTGTCCTTGATATATAGCTCCTAGTTTCCCAGAATGTTTCCCATAATGCCCATCAGCATACCCAGTAAAGAGGAGCTGTTAAACAAAAGTGGTGGTAAGAGTATATATAATTAGCCAGGGCAATAACTATCAGGCTTACTCATTGGGTTTACTCATTGATATAGCATTGATGTGGCATCCTGGGCCATCCGGTCTGTTTTATAAGAACTTTGCTTTTATTTTTGTGGTTAGAATTACTGTGATTCTGGTATGATGTTGACATCATAAGCGCTCTGACAATCTGACAGGCTGCGGAGAAGTTTGTCTAGATTAGTCAGAACAGTTTATACTTCATTTGGAAATCAACCTGAAAGTGAGTGCAACTATATTGTAAAAATAATGCTAGCCATACACTCCTCTTAAAACCAAGTATATTTATTTTTTTGTTTTTTTCTGCATTTATTTTAAGGCAATGCTTTTTTACAGTGTATTGTATGGTGGGGGCAGCATGGTGACGCAGTGGTTAGCACTGCTGGCTCATAGCAAGAAGGTCCCGGCCGACCCGGGGAGTTTGCATGTTCTTCCTGTGCCTGCATTAGTTCTCTTCGGATACTCCAGCTTCCTCCCACAGTCCAAAGACATGCAGGTTAGGTTAGGGTTGACTGGTGACTCTAACTCAACAAATCTCCTAAAGCCACAGAAGACATTTCACAATTGTTTTCAAAGGTACAATTTTCTTGACTAATAAATTGTATTTGACATGTAAGATCAGTGACTCTAAATGTGTGTGTGGTTGTCTCTCTTTTCAAGTGTCAGCCCTGTGACAGACTGGAGACCTGTCCAGGGCGGGCCTCTCGCCCAGTGTCAGCTGGGATTGCCCCCCCCACATCCCTACATCTGTGTGACAAATTTCAAACAAAATCAGTAATCAGATTTATGACCTACAAGTCATAGTTCATTCATTGCTTTATCACCCATACAAAACTTTTGATGGTCAAATTGATCGGGGTTTGATTCTGCATGTTCAGCCTTTAGCCATTTATGTCCTTGGTGTTGTTCTTTCTTGTCACTGTGAGCTGTCAGAATGATGGCTACATTTTGTGTAATTGCCATGGATTTCAACCAATCTGGAATGTCTCTTGAACATACTGTATTTACACTATATGCTTCTTTGAGATTGGATAGCTGTCCGACCTGCCTGGTCCTGAGTTTACAAAAATCATCAGTGAACTGAGAGAAACTGTTAAGATTTGGAAGACAGCCTAGTGTAAGCTCCCCCCATGACGGATTCTTACTCTAGTTAAAGATTAACTTGATGTAACAGAATTTCAGTGAGGTTTATATGCATTCTCAGATATTTTTCCATACTTTCCAGGTATAATGTATAATATATTATTAATATAATGTTTTAAAATATCAGCCTGTGGCAACTTTTGTATAAACACATTGGCATTCTGATAATTCAGCTAATACACTCTTTTTGTCCATCTTACCATCTTTTTTTTCCCCAGACACTCCACACAGCAGCAAACCAACAAAGTCATCACCAGCACAAGCCAACTCATCAAACAGCTCTCTGATATTATCAGTGGCTCTTCCCGGGTATTTTATGCTCCCTTTCCTTTCTTCCTCTTTCACTATCATTCTGATGAGTAAAAAGTGGATTAAAGAACTTCTAAGATAATTAAAACTAATCTTGTTTTGTTGCACAGCAAGACCGGCTGCGCCTGACCAGGTTAAAGACGGAATTCTCAGACTCTGTGCAGCACTATGGGAATCTGCAGAAGGTAGCCACAAATATAGCGTACCCATTTGCTTTCATAAATTCATTGCTATGGTTATGGAATTATTATTAAATGACAAAGAGAGAGAACTAACAGAAAATTGTACATATCTGAAGTGCTATGTGTTGCACAAAAACTCTGACCTCTTTCATGTGGACAAAAGAGTCTTTTTGACCCTGTCTCTTCATTCACTTCTCTTTCAGAAAATTGCAGACCGCTCAAAAGCCTTGCTCCCTACAGCACAGAAAGACAGGAAGAAGGTGAGCTGATATCAAGGGTAAAAATCTACCCTTTATTTCACTGTCATTTATGAAAGAAAAGGATGATGAGATGGCATTTCTCTGCTCGATTACATCCTCACAAGGGCTCCTTTGAAACTCTGCCTAGTCTCTTCCACTCTGTTATAGTACCGTGAACTCCATTCATCACATCCAACTCCAGTGCACTGCTGAAATGTTTTCCTTTTTTTTTTTATCTGAATTTAAAACAGTTACTGGCAAGGGTTTGTTTTCACAGAGATAGAAGCTACTAATCAGTAATTGTTTAACAAATGAAACTCCGCATGACAGACAGACTGGATGTGAATGAATTATCCTATTTGATTACTAAAACAAGATGATAGAAAATGATACTTATTAATTGTATATGATATGAGTACAGTGGTAGAAGTATGAAGACGCACCAAGAAAACATACATATATATATACACACACACACACACACACACACACACATATATATACATATATATACATATATATATACACACACACACACACACAAAGTTAAACTCTACTGTAGGAGTGTCCAAGATGCTGTCAGTGTGTGGACCAGTGGCATGTAAGAACTTTTGTTTCTCACCTGCTGTATGTACAGTACATCCACAAAATTTTAAAACGAGAAATATAAAACCATTAGTAACATTTTGGAATAGCATTAATACATGAATAACCTCTTACACTGGGCTGTCTTCCAAATCTGAACAGTTTCTCTCAGTTCATTGATGATTTTTGTAAACTCAGGACCAGGCAGGTCGGACAGCTATCCAATCTCAAAGAAGCATATAGTGTAAATACAGTATGTTCAAGAGACATTCCAGATTGGTTGAAATCCATGGCAATTACACAAAATGTAGCCATCATTCTGACAGCTCACAGTGACAAGAAAGAACAACACCAAGGACATAAATGGCTAAAGGCTGAACATGCAGAATCAGACCCCAATCAATTTGACCATCAAAGGTTCTGTATGGGTGATAAAGCAATGAATGAACTATGACTTGTAGGTCATAAATCTGATTACTGATTTTGTTTGAAATTTGTCACACAGATGTAGGGTGGCCACCAGACCAAATTTCATACAGATCTAATTCAGATTCCAGATCTGACAGCCATTTAAAGTTAACATTGAAAACCACATTTAACTCATGTTTTCTGCCATAATTTGGCCGAGAATGAAGACAGAACCTTGAAAATGTTCAGGTAAGATGCACACTTTCACCGCCTATCATACTCTAAAGGATGATCCAGATACAATCCAAATCAAGGATTTTACGTTATTTAGGACATTTTTTGTTGTTCTGCATCTCGTTTTTCACAAGGGACCCATCTGTGTGAGTGAATGTTGTGCCTTGGCAGAGGTACATGTGCTCTCTGAGTGCTCATTTTCATACTTGTGGTAGTTTCTGCACAATTGTTTGGTATCTGCTAAACTGCTAATCTTGCAACTAACAATGGCAGCTACCCCCCCAAATGACAAACCCAAGTCATTCTAATTCTTTGCAACTCAAGCCCTGACCTAACACATTTAAATTGAATTTTGACAGGACTGTTCTCAAGAAAGGAAATTATTTTTGTACATGATTCCAAGATAAAACTAGAATGCTTTTTTATATAAAATTATATAACTCTTTGAAATTATACAAGTAATAAATGAACTGAGTATGAAATCTGATGTGTGTTGTTTTGTAATTGCATCAGGAATTTAGGACAGACATTTTTGCATCCATAATTGATTATTTTAAGCTACAAAATACAAGTACAACAAGGGCTATAGCCACTTGCAGAATTTTTGACCACCTGCAATCTTGACATTCAAAAAGTGGAAGATACTTGCAAATAATCTGAAATGTGATGTTCTGGGCATAACTGAAACCTTCATCAGCTAATGATACTGGTGTTTAAGCAACTTGATTTTATTCTTGATGATACATTAATTGGAATTTACAATTAAAGATTCCTAGGCTGATCTCATGTGAATATCATAATGTGATTATGTGCACTTGAGATCAGCCAAAGAAATAAACAGTATACAATTTATTTTACGCTATAATATAGTATCTTTACTTTCTATTAACCTGCAGTGCCTGATATTCCTCTATGCTGTATTATAACCTCTTTAGTGTGCAACCCCAAGATTTTCAATGGCCCCAAAGGTAGGAAACAAAATGTCAGAAATACAAATTCAGACAAAATGTTGAACTTTTGCTTTTTGTTATTAATGGTTGTATATTAAATATAAGCTCCTGTATCACTAAGAGCCATGTTCAGAGTTCAGCCCAGAAACAGAGTAGTACCTCTGTATCTCACTCAGAAATACTTTAGTAGGGTGAAGATTTGAACTCCTTTGATTCAAAGACACCATATTTAATACCACCTTGCTGCTGAATTGAATGGCTAATCATTTACAGCTTCATCTTGTTGGACAGAAACAATTCTGTGAAGAACCAAACTCTCACAAAGAGCCTCTAAAAATCCATCTTTTTTTATAGAAGGGAGAGTACTATCTATTAAGGTTTTATATCTCACTGAAAGCATATTATCAAGGTCTTTTATACTGCTAGCTTTAGAGGTAAAGGGCTTTGGGGGTGGCAAGTCCACTAATCAGTGGGTACATCGTAGAAGAACAAAGTGATGAAACTACTATCACATCCACTGGAATATAAGCAGTAGCTGTAGTAGCACTCTATTCTTTTCTATAGATGAAGTGACAGGCCTTTTGAATCCATGAACAGAAAATAGTGAAATGTGGCCTGGATTTTGGAATGTCATATAAATGAATTTGGATATGCATTTTGCAGATCAGTGCAAATGTCATTGACTGTGTTCCACCCACACCTTTAAATTCACGTCATCAGAGTCATCTGGAATCGACAGTTTGAAATTCAAGAAACTGCGTGAACTTCTTAGCAGCACATGAACTTATGCGGCAAGGTATCAGAATGACTGTCTTGAGAGTCTTTCCCTTCTGTATGGCTGTACTAATGTATTCCGGAGCATTTGCTGTGGGTATGTATGTGGAGGAGTGAGCACGATGTAGTTTGCTGAAGAGTGGTGAGTCAGATCATGGCCAGTAGACAGAACACTGTGACTCAGCCCGGGTTTGTCCATGTGCCCTAGCCCACAATAACTCCTCGATCATAAATTAGCTATGCAGTCAGCCGCACAAAGGAGGAACACATTAGCAATGCAAAAAAAGTCAACCAGGCCTTTCACTGTTGATATGTCTTCCCTACCCTGTGCTTTTGACTGCACATGTAACAAAATGTGTGCATGTGCAGACTGTACAGGTTTTCTCTATTCTAAGCTAACATGGAGTGTTCATATATCTGTAACTGGCTACACAAAGTGACTATTCAGCATTCAGCTTCATCATAATGGCAATTATTTGATTGCCTGATCAGAGAAACTGTGTGCCTCTCTCTTTCCATATATATATATA